CGCATGGCTTTGTGTAACAGCTGTGATCATGAAGCAGTGGGCGAACTGAAGTTTGATCGGTTTTTGTGTTTGTATCTTTGGGTTCTGATACCTGGGGCTGCTTACAGGGGTGCTGCCGGCATAACGGGGCCCAGGATTACAAGTGAACACTGTCGCACTTTCAGATTTCATGATGGTTTCAGCTCTAGGCAGAACATGCCCGGATTCTTAGGTAGGTGGCCACTAAACTTGTTGCAATTGTTGGCAGTTTGCAGACCACCCATTACCATGCCAATAGGGACTTAGGAGCCTAGAAGCCGATCTGGAAACTGCAGAGGAATGGCTGCCACGCTCCGTGTCGGCGAATGCCAGTTTCCCCTCCTCCCTCAGCGACTGGTCTGCCAGCGAGTGGGATCTTGCCTGGCCCAGAATGGCAGAATGCTGGGTGACAGGTGCGATGTGGCACAGGTGTGCCAAGGCCTGCGACGACCTCAGAGTCTGCCTGCTGCTCATGGGCCGGGAGAGATGTCCGTGTGCAGAACTGCAGCCTCATAACGAGGGTTCGCCTGACCGTTACCTCCGTGCCATGTCACCCCTGTTATATTATGTAATAGATTTACGGCTCAGTAGGGTGCCTTGGCTTAGCCTAATCTTTGCACAGAAACTCCTTTAGTTGCAGTTTCCTCCAAGGCAAGGCAAAGCCGTGACCTTGAAGGGGTGGCGAGGGCACCGAGAACGGGCCTCTTTCCCACCGACAGGTGGGAGCGGGGAGGGCACCTGCATGAACAGGTCGTGTTTGGCTGCAGATGTTTCTGAATTAGAGGCGTTTACAGCTGCTTCTTCGCTCACAACAAAGGCTGCTTTCTTCCCTGAGGAAGGTGCCAGCGAAGGCCTTTGGCTTTGATTTGGTGAGTGTTTCCAGGAGCAGGTGTTTGATGGCAGGGCCAGAAGACATGCTTCAGGTCATTCAGTTGCCGGGGTCTTTACTCCCTGGTGCATGCACCTGTATGTGTGTGTGTGTGTGTGTGCACAGTGTGCGTGTGTTCATGTGCGTATGTGCAGGTGTGCATTGCATGTGAACGTTCATGTGTGTGTATGTGAGCATATGTGTGTGTGTGTGAGTGTGAGCATGTACACTGTGCACTAGGGGTGGGGTAGAGCCTCAGCCCCTCATTATAAATGCATATGCAGGCCCTTCTTTCCGCCCTAATTAATTAGAAGTAATGGCGTCCTCATTGCTGGCACGGGAGGGAGTGGGCTGGGAACTAATTGGCCTCTTGCTTTCAAAGCCCCATTCGATGGGACAGTTTTCAACGGGAGGTGCATGGTCACCTTTCCTGTTGTTTTTCCAGGGAGCGTCTGTGTGGGACTCTAACTGGATTGGAGGCTGGGGTGATGGGACGAGAGCTGATGGAAGGTGACCCCAGTGCCTGTGTGTGAATGTGGCTACAGGTTTTCCCAGTGCCTTTCCTTGGAGGAGTTCAGCCCTTTACAGTGCTTCCTGTCACCGCCCCCTCCCTCCCTGAGTCTCCTCACTGGCAGATGCTGATACTCTGGACAGAGAGGGCTCGGGGAGCACGTGCCTGGGGGCAGGTTCCTGTGCTGTGTGCTTGCAAAGCTTCCTGTGGGCATCATGGCCTGCGGGCATCATGGCCTGCGGGCATCATGGCCTGTGGGCATCATGGCCTGTGGGCACCGTGGCCTGTGGGCATCATGGCCTGTGAACATCGTGGCCTATGAACATCGTGGCCTCTGAGCATCTGGCCTGCGGGCATCATGGCCTGTGAGCATTGTGGCCTGCGAGCATCTGGCCTGTGGGCATCATGGCCTGCGGGCATCATGGTCTGTGGGCATCATGGCCTGTGGGCATCGTGGCCAGTGGGCATCATGGCCTGCGAGCATCTGGCCTGCGGGCATAATGGCCTGCGGGCATCGTGGCCTGTGAGCATCGTGGCCTGTGGGCATCGTGGCCTGTGAACATCGTGGCCTGTGAGCATCTGGCCTGCGGGCATCATGGTCTGTGGGCATCATGGCCTGTGAGCATCGTGGCCTGTGGGCATCATGGCCTGTGAACATCATGGCCTCTGAGCATCTGGCCTGCGGGCATCATGGCCTGCGAGCATCGTGGCCTGTGAACATCGTGGCCTGCGAGCATCGTAACCTGCAGGCATCATGGCCTGTGGGCATCGTGGCCTGCGGACATCGTGGCCTGTGGGCACCGTGGCCTGTGGGCATCATGGCCTGTGGGCATTGTGGCCTGTGAACATCGTGGCCTGTGGGCACTGTGGCCTGTGGTCATTGTGGCCTATGAACATTGTGTGGCCTGCGAGCATCATGGCCTGCGGGCAGGGACTCTGCCTAGCCTGACGCATGGCAGACACTGTGTGAACACTGTTTGAGAGGATGGGATGCGGAGGGATCTCATCCATTCTCCTTGAGAAGAAAACAGGGGGTAGAAGTTGGCAGGAAGCAGGGCAGGGACGGGTGAGACGAGTCTGGGGTCCAGGGTGGACACTAGGGGCTCACTCAGCAAGTGCAGGGTGGGTGTCTGCACAAACTGAGTGGGTGCCCCCTTAAGCTGTGCACCCTGGGGCCCGGCCTAGAGCACGCATTGCCCTGCTTCCTGTCTCCTCCAGGGATGGGGTCGGCCAGCTGAGACCAGCCCACGGTCAGCAGTGCTTTGCCTGCGCTGTCTGAACCCTCCGATGCCCCAGGGCCAAGTGCTCCCATTCCGAGGTCTGCTTCCCGCTCTAGGCGTCCTGACCCAGCGGGTTGGTGAGGAGAGTGGGCGCTGGGGACAGAGGCGAGGCTCCTGTGTGGGGCCTGCCGCCTGAGGCCTGGCTCAAGTTGGTTCTGGCGAGAAGAGCTGGGAGGGTCTCTTCAGGACCACTCCCCAGTTGGACAAAATACCTCTCCCCCCAGAGAGCCGGGGCGGGGGTGAGGGGGAGGCCCAGCTCAGGGAGAGGACTGGTGGGCTGTGGGAACTGGGAGGGGCTTGGGAAGCAGCCTGGAGGCGAGGCTGTGGCTGTGTGGCAGGTCCAGTGGAGCCACAGCAGGCAGGTGGCAGAGAGAGGGGCCACACCAATGTGGCTCCAGCCTGGGGGGGTGGGGTGCAGCGCAGGTGTGTGCACCGCACAACCAAGTTGGCAATGCTCCCTCCGGACTGAGGAGTCCCAGCCGAGGCCTGTGGCATCGGGGACCCTGTAGGGACAGGTATGCCAGGGGAGAGCCACAGAAAGGTAGGTAGGTGGATAGGTGTATGTACTAGTATGTATGTATGTATGTATGTATGCATGTATCATCTATCCATCTATCATCTAGTATCTATTATCTATCTATCTATCTATCTATCTATCTATCTATCTATCTATCTATCATCTATGTATCTATCCATCTATCAGCTATCTATCTAATCTATATCTATCTATCCATCCATCTATCATCTATGTATCTATCATCTTTCCATCTATCTACCTACCTATCCATCCATCTATCATCTATCTATCTTACTTTCCCGTCTGTTTCTCTTGCCCGAGCCCATGGCAGGCAAGCTGTCCCCGGCTGCTTCTTTAGTCGCCTTAAACTAGGCGAGTGGGGCTGGGACTTCAGGTCTGGGCCAGGTCTCGCGTCTGGCCTCCTTTCCTTTTCAAAGACCTCCCAGAGTTGCAGTGGCCAATGCAGCCCCGAGCAGATTGCTATAGGGCCAAGCAGCGGTCCCTTCCTTCCTGACTGCCAGGGTCCAGGCCTCCCCAGCCAGGTGCCTGAGGAGACCCCTCCCCCACGAGGCCAGGGTCACTGGCAGGGAGAGTGGGTTTCCCTGAGGTGGCTCTGGGCTTCCAGAAGATGGGGCTGGAGGGCCTGCCACTCGCCCTGCACCTGGGAGTCCATGGGGCAACCACACCACACAGCTGGCAGCTCTTAGACATTGGGGTTGTTTCTCGACATCATCGCACTGTGTCTTCCTGACTGAGGCGCGGGCTGGGCTGAATTAGTGGCTACGTTAACAGAGGAGCCGAGGCCCTGAAGAATAAAGTGACTCATTCAAGGTCTAGTTCACCAGCTGGTCCAGGTAACCCCAAGACTCTGGCCTCTGACCAAAGGGCACCTCAATGGGCCTCCCGTCCGATGTGGGTCAGGAGAGAAAGCTGACGGCACAGAGCCTGGGGACCGCAGAGAGCTGCATCTGTCTTGTCCAGCCACACCAGGGACCCATTAGGGCAGACCCCACAAAGGCCACCTTGTCCTTGTCCCGGCCAGTCAGCCCTGCCTGAGGACAAGCACAGAAGGGCCCTTGCATCGAACTAGGGGAGGAGACCCCATGAAAGTGGGTAACGGTGTGGAGACAGGAGGCGGAAGCTCGAGTCCTCGGAGCACCACTAATATTGGTGTGCCCTCGGCCAGGTCACTGCACCTGACTCCGCAGATCCCTCGCCTGTAAAACGGGGCTACAGAGGGGTCTTCTAGAGCCTAGAATCTAGGCGGGTGAGAAGAACATACGAAATGTTTGTGCCTGCGCTATGCACACTGTGGCACACGAGCCAAGGGCGTCCCTGCTTTTAGTCATGGGGACAGAGAGAGGAGGCCACACAAGATTTCCATCTTGAATGTTTGCTTCTCTACTTGAGAAGCAAAACCCTTCGTAAACTGTGAGCTACTGTCCACAGCAAGGGAATTGTCAGGAGGCCCGATGGGAGTGATGGATCCATCACTGGGCGGGGCGAGCGCCGTCCCCGCAGATGCGTTCCTGTCCAGCATGTGAGAATTGCCAGTGACCTTGCCTGTCCTCTGGCCGCTGAGCGGCGACGCTCCTGCAGGGCCCCCACGGCAGCTGCCTGGGCCGGGAAACGGGAACCAGTTCCTCCAGATCCCAAAGAAATGAATGGCAACGACAGGGGTAAAAATATCTGCGCGCTGAGCTCGCTCGCTCAGCGCCTTTCATCTAAGGATCGTTTAGGCTTAATTATAGAGCTCGGTGCTCATTGGGCTTTTGATTAATTTTCTTTTCAGCTTGAAGAGGGTGAGTGTAGTGGGTCTGCGTGCGCGTGCGTGCGTGTTTACATCTTTCTTTGCAACTCAGTTGGGAGCTGGCTCTGGCGGTGTTTAATTGTGTCCGCGGCTGTTCGATGTGCCAAGCAGAGCTGGCGAGGCCGTTGTTCCTGCTGCCCCCACCCCGCGGGCTGCTCCTGCAGGGATGGGGGGGTGGGGGCAGGGCAGGGCCTCGCTCAGCTGGGGCCTCAGCTGTGTTGCTTGCTCCCTCCTCCTGAGCTTATGGTGCCTCAGGGATCCCGAGACCCCGAGAACAGACTGCTCCTCGCTCATCGCCAGTGCTGCGGAGAGCTGCCAGGCAGCGCCCCACGCTGCGCCCAGTGGGCATCTCCGGCCAGTCTCCCTGGGTTACACGGTTCTCGGCATAGAAATCAGTGTTCGCTTATTTTTAATACATTCACTTAGTAGATCGGGCGAGGCTGCATGGCTGCGTAGGAGCAAATGACTGGCTTTCTCCTTCGCCTCCTCTCTTTTGTGCCCTCCTGGCAGGGAGCACCAGGGAGGCAGCTCAGGGCCTGGGTGAACAGGGGATTTGGAGCAGACAGCCCAGCTTGAACCTGCTCCTGACATTTTCTGTTTGTGCCAATGAATAAGTCACTTAACGTCTGTGTTCCTCAATGCAGTGTTTGTAAAGTGGGGATGATAATAATGATACTACACTCCTCCAAGATGGTCTAGGGGGTGAGAAAATGCATATGGAAGCCTTTTGTAAAATATAAATCACAGTTCTTTTATTTTGCTGCTCAGAACATGACTTGACCTGTGAGGTAACACGCCTAGCACCTGGACGGAGGGCGTCGTGAAACGACCTCGGATGGGACTGGAGCGGGGACGAGCCTCCAACCTCCCTCCTGCTGTGGACCAAAGCCATGACCCGGCAGGTAAAATGTGCGCTGCAAAGGGCCCGAGTTAAGAGCTCAATTTAAAACAGAGGGCACAGATCAAACCGATCAAAGGGAACCTGGAACATTCATTTTCTAACATAATTGTAACAAGGACCTCTCCCGTTCTTTAAAGGGTGGATCCAATCATCTCCAGTGCTAAGAGGGTGATGGTTCAGGGTGGAGCCCAGAGCGGACGGTGGGGCTCAGGTAAGTGTGACTGTGCTGTGATCCGAGGTGTGGGAGGCCCAGGCCCTCCTCTGGGCCCTGCTGGTAAGTAGGGATGTGGCCCTGAGATGAGCTAATTTAACTGGACCTCAATTCCCTCGGGATCGTGGAATAAAAGCTCTCAAAGGTGACTACAGTGAAGAACCTATGTCTTAATGAAATGCTGTTTTCCAGTCTCTCTCTCTCTCTCTCTCTCTCTCTCTGTGTGTGTGTGTAGAATCCCAATGTAATCCTAAGACCAGCCAACTAATCAAGGCACTGAATGAATCCCTTTAACCTGATCTCCCCTCTGCCGCCAGACCTGGGGGCTCTTGGGGACACGCCTGATGGGAGCAGGGAGGAGACCTGGAGGTGACTCCCTCTGGACAGCCTTTCACTTCGCAATATCCTGGCTGCGCTGAGGGGCGTGATCGAGGCTCACAGACAGAAAAGGGTGTTTTCCTGTAAAACGGCGATCACTTTAAAACAATTGGCTGCAGGGCCCCAGCACATCGCCAGAAGATTTCAGAACTGAGAGGCCCCGCTGCAGAGCTCACAGTATCACTGACAATGACCACAGTGTATATTTGGTTATTGTCCAGGGCTTTATCTTTTGTAAGTACTTTCCTATCTATTTCTCTCATTTTGTCATCACATAATTTTCGAGAAAACTGGCCTGGAGTCAGTTCTTTTGAAATTCTGAAAAGTGCGTTTTC